GACGGTTTACTCGCAGAAAGAAAATAAAAGTCAAGTTTAAACATAAAAGGAAGATTTGAAGAGAAATAGAAGATTTCCGCAGAAGAAAAGGAAGGATCGAGAAGAATGGAAAGTTCCCGATTTAAGCCAAATCTGGGCGAAATGGAAAGATCGGATAGCCAAGATGAGGAGTATATAAAGAGGAGGTCTAGGGCAGAAGTAGACACACGAAATCCAGAGCTCTCACCACCAAAACTAGCATTTAGGAATCTTTCCGTTTTTCTGTTAGCGAGCTGCGTCTCAATTAGGGTTTTCTAGTTCTTACGCTTTCGGCAATTCTTTTTGTACCAGTTCTACGCAGATTCGGAATAAGAACCTCCTTGTTTTCAATCTCTCTTATTTTTGTTTTTATTCTAAGTGTTTTAGTCATCTTAATCTTTGTTGTGCGGTTCTCGCAGATAGCCGGTTCCTCTGGAAACTTAGGGTTTTCCCGAAGTTTCCTTATTTACGATTTATTTGACAGTAGGGTGAAATCGACTCCCACACAAACCAACAAACAGATGTGCAAGAAGTGCAAGAAGTGCTCTCTCCACCTACACTCAAACCAACAAACAGAGGTGCAAGAAGTGCTCTCTCCACCTACACTCAAACCAACAAACAGATGTGTTCCAGCACATTGGACCACCAATAAACTCTACCTATATCATGAAGAGTTTGTTTGTTTTACTTATCCTCTTTAACCAAATCATCAACAAAGAGTTAATTTGTGCAATGTATTGAAACTAACACAGAATCAGCAGCAGGATTTCCTCGATAGAGGACACTAGAGGACACCAAGAGAGACATCATTTCTACCCCCAATCAAATCAAATCAAAGTAGGCACCAATCTTCTCTGAAGCATTTCGTCGAACAACTTCTCTGCATCATTCATCCTCTCCGATTTACACAACCCATCGATAAGAACGTTGTAAACAAACACAGTGGGTAAGATTCTATCTTCATTCTCGTGTCGGAGGAGGTAGAGAAGAGACGACATGAGAATGAGGTAGAGATGGAGATGAGAGAGAGATAGACACTTCCTATTATGAGGCGTGTCCTAAGCTTACCAAGCTTGTTCAGGTTTGTTTGCTTAGCTCAAGACTAAATTTGCAGTCACTGAGGTGTTATTAACAAGATTATACCAATCCCTGCAATAAAGATTAAAAACAATAACAAAAGAGACTAAGGATAAACTGAATCAATGAATCAAAGAGAGGTTTTACTCACACGCCAGCATCGTCACGCCACCTCTCTTAGAGTTTCTCCAAATCCGATTTTGATTTGTAACCTTCTCTCCCGTCTTCGCAGACTCAAGCTTCCCGATTCTCCTCCGTGTAGAATTAATTTTTTTTTTACAAAACGAAACCCAATCTCCCACCGCCACGTGTTCTAAGGAACAAGTCCTTCCATTCCTTATTCACGGACTGATCCGTAGTAATATTAACCAATACGTCTTTTTTATTAATATCCCACACGTATGAAGAGCTAAGGACTCCTTCGATCCCTCCCGTTGCGGCTGGTCTTAGTATTAATGTTGTTCACACTTCTTTACTCATCACGCATAAAGTGATAACAAATATGTGAAAGCTAGAACATACCATTATTTCACTTTCACCATAAAGTTATCGTTCGAAGTTTCAAGGAAACTCTGAATATATATATATATATATATATTTTGGAAATACATGCTTTCTTGACCTTCACTTAGTGATCTCACCACGCCATTTCAAGCTCTTATCTTGTGAATCTAGAGACATCCTTCGGCATTTCGAAATCTGGAGTAAAACAAAAAAAAAACAAAAAACAGTTCTTTTTAGTTGTTTTGCTCTATGGGTTTTGTTATTGGAATGTTGGAGATTTTTTAGAAAGATTCTAACCAACGTAGATGGTGAACTTTTCCTTTTCACTTAACGATTTCATCCTGGGACTGGTAGTGCTTAGGTGGAGAGTTTGCGCCATCATGAGTTTTGACCAGCTGTGCATTACTTGCCACATGGATTACATTGAGTTAATCATCGAACACATGTGTCATGAAATGAAAAAATCTATATCTTACACCACCTGGGAAGAAGGTTTGTGCTTAAGATCTTTGTTTTGCATGCAGTTCCCTTGAAAGCTCGTCCTAGTGACAATAATAAAGAAACACACTCAATAAAGACTGGAGATGTCTAGAGCACGAACATGAAAACATTGATGATAGCCAGATGGTCCATCAGCAAGAAGAGTCCCTTGAAGCCTACTTCTGTCGATATGAAGCTTTTTAAAATACTTCAAGTTACCGAGCTCTTGAGGCAGCTTTCCCGTTAAACCATTGGACTCGAGGTTTCTGCAAATGCTAAAGAAGCTGAGGAAGCAGCTCAACTGCTTTGGTCAGCGTCTCCTGCAACTTGATATCACTAGTCACATTCTTTGACGCACCTTCTAATAAAGAAGCCTCCATTATATCAAGAATAACTCTGCAAGACTGTGCAGACTCTGCAAGAAGAATACAGTTTGCTGCTTAGAAAGAAAAAACACAGAACCAAAAATAGAAGACTGTGACTTGTTACTTACCTTGGAACCTTCCAAGACTCTGGAGAGATTTCGCTTTGAGGAAGATAGCTTCAAAAAGTAAACTAACAGCATGTTTAGACATGGGAGGCTGAGGAGGAGTAACAAAGCTGCCTTTGAACCATCTTCTATGTTTCCATTCTTCTCTAGCAGTTAAAGCGGTTCTCATCTTTATTGTGATGCCACTGATATCAATCCATTCAAAGACTCTCAATGCTGCTTCTATGTTTCCTTTCTGATACTCAATTCTTCCCAAAAGTGCTCTTACCTCCTGAAACAATTACAACACAATGACACATGTTTGATGAAAAAGCTCAGAGGTGATGAAGAAACCGAACCTCGTGGTTCAAATAACTTGTCTCACGCATAGATAACTCAGCTTCTTCAATGTTGTCATTATCTAGCGTCTTGGCATTCTCGCTCTCAGTAGCTGATAAAGCTGAGCTAACATTGCCTACACCAAGCTCAGATCGCTTGTATTTTTCCTCTACGAGTCTCATTTGTTCACCAGAACACAAACACTTTGATCCTGATCTTCCTTAAATGCTGTCTTAGTCTGCCTAAATGCAACTTCTCGGATGGCTTAATCTCGCTGTTCCTCATAGCTTCTCAGAGAGTTTGATGATCTTCACAGCGCATAATTGGGAACACGTTAGTACTGGATTTCATATCTCAAATACTCGATACTCAGAATCTTACCCACAAATGGATTCGTGTTGATGGAATAGTAATACGATGGTATGTAACTCGAATTGAAATTTTATATAACGGTGAAGGAATACCTGAAAGTAAAGTTAGGGTTTTGTAATCCTGTGGTGGGAAGGTGTAGAGGTGGAGAGATTTAATAGAGACTCTAAACAGCCTTGGGTCATCAATGGCGGTTCAAGGAGATGAATTGCAGACGGTCGACACGATCGGAAATCCACCCAGAGATACCTCACAAAGATGGGTCTCACACAACACTCTACAACCTCCATTGCCAATTGACCTAATTAGATTTTGATCAAAATTAAAACTCATCACCACAGCGTGGATTTCTCGCCTCCCAGAACCGGAGTAGGCGAACTGCAGCGGTGGAGGAGCAACGACCGGACTTCAAGTCGGTAAAAAAAATACCCTAGAAACAGCCATCAAAAACGAAAGAGATTAAGCAGTGTGGAACAAGATTATGAACGATTCTGAGATGATGAAGAGCTCACCTATATATATACACTTTCTCCACCAACTCTAAGATGATAAGAAGAGATTGATTAAGGATCGTGGGGCTGTCGTAAATACTATCATCAATGAGTACTCAAGGTTCATATCATGCGAGAAAGATGAATCGACAAAGAGAAATGTGTAGTGAGCAAAAAAAAGGTGGCTTCAACGACAAAACCTAAGTTCGCAGGAAGTAGAAAGAGATGAACGACAAATCCACTACTGTGAAAGGCTTTGGGCTACACAAATTTTGGGCCAAAAAAAACATAAAGGCCCAATTGGACATGTGGCAAAACGGAGAGAATTGATTATGTGACGTGGATGAGCTAGAGGGACTAAAAATCTCATTTATGTAAATAGATAGATAGATAGATAGATAGATAGATAGATAGATAGATAGATAGATAGATAGATAGATAGATAGATAGATAGATAATTTTTCTGTGAAATATTGTCATTCATTTTGATGTACCTCCGCTAACCAGTTTAAGGGCTTCTTACCAAAGAGTGTGGCTTCATCAATCAGCAGCCAATACAGGTTCAATATTTTATCTCTATGAGTAGTTATATTTGTTTACTATAAACTCAGATTAACTACATACGTGAGAAGGGGTGGGTGTATGTTGCTGTTTAGTTTTGGTGTTAATAAGCCACAAAATGTCCCTTTTTTGGATCAACAGCCATAAAATGTCCCTCTTACTTTAACTCCACCTTAAACTCACTTACTTATACTCCCTTTTCAACTCTGTTGATCGCAGGCACAACATTTACGGTAATGATTGTGCTATATATATTTGTGGTGTTTAACACTGAAATGACCAAGTTCGCTTCAAAACCCATCAAATCTCATATTCGAGGTCTTCTTGACAAAACTAAACATTTATCCAACTACCATTAAAAGCACTAGAAATGATAATAATACATGGGAATATAATTAAATTAACATGTTTGAGTGGACTTGATGGAAAACTGTTTGTTTACCAGATATATAAGAGCTGCGCATTCACACCAAAACACAGTGTTTCAGCCTAAAATGACAGTTATGTCCATTGACAAAATGGATCCATGATGGAAAAAAGATTGATTATTTAACATCTTTCTATCACAAAATGTGAATTATTGTATTAGCAATTGTTTTCATTATTAGAGGTGATTTATCATAGTTTATATATACACTTCAAATGAAGCTGAACATACCCCATTTCGGACAATAGTCAGTCTCATTATCACCAAACACAAATGAATTAATAAACAACAAACTCAGAATGACAATGAGATCTGATTATCTATTAAATGAGGCTTGCTACTCATATAGTTTTATAATCATTTATATTTTGTTATAACAAACAAATAAAACTATTAAATACAAAATTTCATATGTAAGATTTTTAATGCTTTTGGTAGCTTTTAGTCATTTTTCAAAATTCACAATATAACATATACGAAAAAATTTAAAATTTTATCATATGAATAATGTGATTGTTTAACTTATTTTAATAATTTAAAGTTAAACAAAAAAAAGAATAAAGGATACACAATATTTTATCAAATCCTAATAATTCAAAGTTATTAATATGTCTAGATGGACTAACCTAATTCTCTAATAATTCTAAAAATGAGTATAGTGGTAAAACTTATCATATCTCAAATGTTGTAATGTTTTTAGATAATATAAAATTTAAACTATTAATTACAAAATATTTTATGTGGAATTTTAAATATAAAATTTAAATAAAACCTGCAGAATTTGTATATATCTTAATCACATTTTAACCTGCAGAATTACTTAATGTGGTTAATATACATATGAAAATTCTGCAGGTTTTGTTTAAAGAAAGAAGGAAAGAAATTAATAATAGTTTTATGATTAATTTAATTAAAAATAGTATAATGTCCATATGGACCAATTTAATATCTAAGGATTATAACAAGAATTATAATAATAACATGTGTAATAATTCAAACATTGTAATGTTTTCGAAGAATATATTAGGGATTATTTTATTATATTTGTAACATCCATAAAAACATATGTGTATTTGTGTAGGAAAGCAGACGCATGAAAATTACTACACTAGAAACACTTATAAAACGAATGTGGAAACAATCATCATATTTCATAATTGTTTTTTCATTGAAGGCTTATTTCATAATTGTTTCCAGATTCTTTTTCATACAATGGATACTTCCTTGGTTTCATTTATACATTTTTATGTGAATATTCCCCCACTAAGAAACTAAAACGGAAATTTTTGTGCAAGCCCACATATGGGAAACTTTATAAAGATTCACCGGCTTAGCATGCAAGTTGCCAAAGACACCCCCGTAATTATCATGTTATTATCATGCGAGCCACTAATTTTTTCACTAAATTTAATATTGTTTTTTTGATACACACATATGTACGTAAAGAGATGTAAAGTGTATTTGTGCTGATGCTACACTTTTTGGTGATTAAGAAATGGCAGATATTACGAGCTTTAGTTCAATACTAATGTTACACTTTCAACTGCTTCTACAACTCTATTTTGTTTCCAACAAATATCTGGAACCTCAGTTTCAAAAAATAATAATATATATATATATATATATATATATATATATATATATATATATATATATCTGGAACTTTAAATAAACGCTGTAATCGCACCGGCAAACTTTGCATGCATGCACATGCCGACATGCGTTACATATAGGCGAGAGTGTGACGTAAACTTTCCATGTTTTTTTATGCTAAAATTTGGTGCAAACTTTCCATGTTTAAAGTTAAGATGTAGGTCTTTACAGAAAAAAAGAAGTAAAATGTAGTTTGAGCCTCTTAACTGTTTTTATTTTGTATATATAGATATATTATTAGATGATATTCGTTGGCAACTATGTATAAAATAACATTTTCGTTTGAATCTTATACAATAACATAGAAGCGAATAATTCAGACAGAAACCATATGGCAAAGAGATCTCCGTAATCCTTCTTGGAATCCATCGTACTAAAATCTAATAATGTTTTATAACTCCTTCAACTTGGGTTCCTCCACACTAGTCTAAAATACTTTTATATGCTACCTTTTGGTTAGATATGATGACATGTATGAGTTTTCCTTTTTTGGTCTACCTAAAAACTAATTTTCGATGAAAGGTTAATGTAGTAAAAAAAGTATAGTCAGATGCATTGGTTGTCATTGATATTTTTCTTGCTTTTAAAACATTATATATAGTTCAAAATTCTGATATATTTTCTCAAAGCCACTCAACAGATGAAATGAATATATTATTAACTAAAAGGTTTCGGAGTAACGTATGACTAATCCTTTTAAGATATGTGTAATCATCGGCTAATGTACTCACTGAGTTTTCTTATAAACTTAACTATATAACTATTTTGATTGATCAAGAGTAAGAACGATAATAATCTTTTAGCAAAAAGAAAAAAGTAAGAACCAAATATTTACAGTTGAAAATAAAAACTAAGTTCTAAAAAGTAGTAACATCATCACCATTCTAAATAAAACTAACATTAATGCAACTAAATATTGTAAATTTCTATGCCTATTACATCTAAATCTTAGTTGGATGTTCGTGTCCGGTAAGAAGTGTTATATAAAGTAGAAACTGAAGTGTTGTTTTTAATTATTTAGTTATTATTTTTAATTTAATTTATTATTAACTTAGGATATAATTTAAGAACATTTTTTTTTCCTTTTCAAATTTGATAGCTTAATTGGTTTAAGCACATATATTAATGTTGTTGTGTTCCTGGATTCATGACTTCAATTTATTGTGGGAGAGACATTTTACGCCATGGAGTTTATTCATATGATATCAGTTTTGCTGAATCTCGAGTTTTAGAGATTATTGGCTTTGTCCACAAAATCTCTAGATATAATAATCATAAAAAAATTGATTACTACATTGAGAAGTACATTTTAGATCTTAAGTATATATACATAATATCATGTGCTTATCGTAACTTATTTAGTATATATACTAAATAAAACCTTAAATTAAATATCGTTAGAAAATTAATATGTAAATCAAAGAAATAAAACCTACTTTAAATAAATAAACACCAAATTAACAGAGTACCTCATGATTCTTCGCTGTATATTCCAATAACTTCATGTGCCCAAGATCCAAGCTGACCACGCAATAGTACCAAGTACTGATTAATTAATCACTAATATTCATTATTAACTTGAAACTTTGTCATGATAACATTATTTCTGTACCTATTTTAATCCTCGGATTAATGATTAGAAAAAAAATATTTGAAAGGTGACTTCGATTTACGACTACAA